TAGAATAGAATAGAATAGAATAGAATAGAATAGAATAGAATAAGGGAATAGAATAGAATAGAATTCTTTTTATTGGCCAAGTGTGATTGGACACACAAGGAATTTGTCTTGGTGAAAATGCTCTCAGTGCACATAAAAGAAAAGATACATTTGTCAAGAGTCAAGAATCATCAGGTACAACATTAATGATAGTCATAATTATTGTCATTGTACGTGTATACATATACAACGAAATTCACATAACACCTGAGTTTGTCTCAGTTTTGGCTTCCTCTGTGATCAGGGCCTCCACTTTGAAGAGCTGGTGGTGGACCTATTTGGAGGGGCTTCAAATGTTTGGCTGATGTTCTTGAAAAAGGTCAGGAGTGGCCAACTGATGCGGAGATGTCCAGTGGTGGGATTCAAATATTTTTTACTACCAGTTCTGTGGGCGTGGCTTGGTGGGCATGGCTTTAATGGGCGTGGCAAGGGGAAGGTTACTGCCAAATCCCCCTTCCCTCCCCACCCCGCTAACCTGCTTTCCAGCTCCGTTCTCCTGTGCAGGGCAACCAAGGGAGACCCAGCTGATCAGCTGGGACTCAATGGGAGGCGGAGAAGAGATGGGGTTGGCGGGGCCAGTCAGAGGCCGGATTGGCCTCTCCGAACTACTCAACATTTCCGCTACCGGATCTTGAGAACCGGTCAGAACCGGCTGAATACCCACCTCTGGAGATGTCATGTCTTCTCTTATCATCTCGTACGTTCTCCTGGGGTTGTTCTTCTGCAGACAGGATGGACGTCCCAAAGGGGAATTCTGGAATCCTGCAGGCTGCCGGTTTTCCAACCTCAATCCTACGTCCACAAGTTAGTTCGGTCCTTCTATATATTCCCCCCCCCAAACAACCAAGAATGATGAAAAGCACCATTCCTATCTATCTATGGAGTTTCTCAGTCATCCAGGGTTGTCCCAAAGGTGCTTTTCAAAAGACAACTGGACTTTTTAATCTATATATCTATGTCTATGTCTATATATCTATAGCTATATAGCTATAGCTCTATCTATCTGTCTATCTATCTATCTATCTATCTATCTATCTATCATCTATCTATCTATAAGAAAAAATAAATAATTTTTATTTCTACTTGGAAACCCCTGCTGGACTTTGTGCTTGAGCTGGAAAAAAAAAAGAAACTTTGATTTTGGGTTTTACCCGATTAGATACCTTTGTTGTTATAGAAATGGCTGGTTTTTGTACTATTATGTCAAAATACATTTTATTTATTGATTAGGCCTTGGGTCATATCAAAGTGCAAAGTTCCAGAAATAAATTATTGCTAAAAATTTGATAAAAGCAATTTAAAATGGAATTGGATAAAATACAATTTTAAATGAAATTGGAATAAAATACGATTTATAATGAAATTGGAATACAATACAGTCTAGAGTGAAATTGGAATAGAATGCAGTAATTTAAGATATAGATAAAATAAGACAAAATTATATTTCGGTGTCACCCCTGCAATTCTATTCCAGTCAGTCCTGCATATGCCGAACTCAACTGGACTAGAGGGCTTAAGGACCATTGTGCTTAAATGGTATTTTCAGATTCTGGCCGCACACGAGGTAAGTTGTTTTAATACGAGGGTCTCAGTGGATCATTCTTTTGGTATATAGACTGAGGTGCTCTCTCTCACCCTCTTATACGGGCAACAATCCAATACGATGTGAGCCAGGTATTCCATCTGCGCTATGCAGAATGCAGAGATTATGTAAAAGTAAAAAGTTGAAGTTTGATATTAATGCCTTATTTTACTGCACCAAAACGAGTGGGAAGTCAGCCCCCCCCTTTTTTTCTTTTTGCCCTTTTCTTTCCTTCACTTTTCCCTTCCCTATTTTCCCTACTATTTATTTTTGTATTTTCTTTGTATGCTATATTATAAACTAATTAAGAAAACCATTAAAAAAGGCGATGGGACATGACCAAGAAACTCCAATCGCCCTAATTAAATCATGATCCCCGAGCCAAACTTCAAAAAACTTCAAAGGATTTAATTGAGGCGACATACTGGCAGTGCCCTATATGAAGCCAACTCTGGCATATGCAATTTACAGTCACCTGTGGCCTGTTTCCCCTCCTCCCCCCCCGGGTGTGTCATAAATCCGATTCTCCAATTGACCAACTGACGGGCTGGGTGTCATCAGTCATGTTCTCCAATTAAACATGTTCTCGAGCAAAAGCTCTGGTATTTTAGTCACAACCTTTTAAAGATAAAGAGTTGGAATGTACTTTTGCTTTCAAACTGCTGCACTCCTCTTCCAGATGTCCTTCCTCCCCTCTCCTCTTTTTTTTTATGGTAACTACTAAAACAGGCATAGGAATGTTTTAGGAGTTGACAGAACCTTTGCAACAACCATGATTCGGATGATTGAGTGATGATCTATCCAGATAGGATAGATGGTTTTCGTCACCCATCATTTGTTGTTGTTTGGGGGGTGGAGAATATATAGAAGAGCCAGATCTACTTTTAGATGTAAGAATCAGGTTGGAACTGGGAGTTTGCTGTATTTCGGCATTCTATTTTATTTTTACTTAAAGAAATGCAGGGAGTTGACGAGATGCTAAAAGAAATATCTGTGGATGCCATCTTTGTACGCAAGACTTTTTAGAATCTCCTTTGGAGGGAGAGTCAGGAATGACTCAAAAGCCCAGGTTGAGCACACCTCAAACCCCAAAGGTGGCGTCTGCCGATCCCAAAATTGCTGAGATGGGAGACTTTTCACTTCCTTGGGATTTCTAAAGCGACTGCTACACCCACTGCTGGCTTTCCAGCTGTTTGTGGTAAACGTTGGGCTATATTACGACACTGCTGTGGATTGGCCAAGTTACTTGGTGTTACTTTGCGAATGATGCAATGGCGAGGAGCAAAGTTATTATGAAGTGAAGTCACTAAGGATTTGTCCAAGACTGTCTCAGCATAAGTGGTAGAGACAGCGTCGGCTGGAATGCTCACAGATCACGGATATATTTAACCCTGGACTGTCAGGCTGAGCTTTCTTTGGGCCTCGGCTGTCCGCAGCCGGCTATGAACCGGCCAGGAAGAACTGCAGATCTGCAGGTATCGCAGCAATTTCTAAGAGAGCCAGCGACGGCGAGGAGGAATTACACACCCAGTGGTTAAGTGTGCGAAGAGCAGGAACAGATGCACGAGACGGTCCAAAGTTCAGCTAGGGAAATAGGAGAGAAAGAAAACAACAACGGCCAGGCCAGGAAGGAGAAGCAGACTGGCCCAGGTGCGGTGAAACACTTGAGAGCCGGTTTTGACCCTTGCTGCCTCTGGAGCTTCCCTTTGTCCACGGTGGCCTCATGTCATTGTGGACTAGACGAAGAATTTTGCCGTGAGTGAGGCAGAAAAAAGCTTTCTTCGGGCGCCTCTGAATCCAAGGTACTTGCTCAAAAATAGGTTCAAAATTAAGAGCCCTAAATCCCTTTTGTACTTGGCTTCTGTTCTGTTTGGAAAAGAAAAGTCTGGTTGAGCAGGCTCGGAGAAGCCGACGTTCTGGTCAGACGGGTTCACCTTGCTGGCAAAACAACGTCGCAGCTTCAAAGCTTGTGATCTCCGAAATAAATCAGAAGGATGTTAGTCGGTAGAGGCTGCCCCGGGTGAAGAAGAGGCCGCTCAGTGCCCGTAGCATCCAGAACCTTCCACAGAGGTATGGTTGAACGCGGGAAGGAGCTGGGTCTTTCCTACCGTGAAATGGAGTTTAAAAGCCCACCATGTGTGTTGGTTCCGTGGGTAGAAAGCTGCTAAGGCTGCTTTGTGTATGTTATGTTTATTCTTTCAATTTGTCCGATGTTGGTTGGATGAATGGATGGATCGAGGGAGATAGACAGATGATCTAGAGTTAGCAAGATAGATATATAGATATTAGCTCGGTACCTGTGCTTTGCTATGAAACTATGTGGTCGGGCTTGTTTTTTGGGGGGAAGAAAATAAGGGGGGGGGAAATTCTGCCTCTGCCTATCAGCATCCATCAGTATTCATCTGGTTAGCATCCAGTAAGTGTGTGAGAGAGTTGAGGGCTGCTTGGAAACTGAAACAGTATTTGCTGTGTAAGCAAGAAGGAGACAGCAAGGAGCCTGGGCGTGGCTGGGCGTAGCTCAACTGTTCTGTACTAAAGCGGCAAAACTAACACTGAAACTCCTCTCCTCTGCTTGTGTTTTGCCTTTGGAAGAGGTTTCTTTTCATGTGGGGCGGGGGAGTAGAACTCCTTAGCATCAGAGCATGTTAATAATAACAATATAGGAAATGCTAAAGCTCCGACGATCCTTTTGAAAAAAAATCCGAGAGTTGAGAGTTGAAATTGCCAGTGCTGAGATGGAGAAGGGAATAGAACTGAAAATATTTGTCCCAGTCCTTTTTTGTGAGTAGAAAAAAAAAACCTTGGTCTTTAATCCTCATCGTTTCTCTTCTCGGCACTTTCCCCAAAGTCTCCACATCTTTTTTTGCAACGGGGTGACCAAAACAGGATGTGGTATATTCCAGGTGTGGCTTTACTAAGGCTTTAAAAGCAGTACTAATACATCATTTGATTCTGTGCCTCCGTTTATACAACCAAGGATTGTGTTAGCTTTTTTGGCTGCTGCCACACACAGCTGGCTCATATTTAAGCAGTTGTTCACTAGGACTCCAAGGTCCCTCTCAGAGTTTTTGAGCCAGGTTGTCTGCCTTTCTCCCATCTCGTAAGTCCCAGGTGTTTCTCCCAAAGCTTCTTTTCATATAATTCTGACACATTCAGATACTCGCATCTCTGTTGGCCTGCCTACTAAAACACAACTCATTGGGTGGAAATTTGCTCCTTTGTTTTGCTTCCTAATTGGACTGTGAGCTTGGTGGGATGTTTCCGTAGTGTTTGCGTCTGCTGCCTCTTCCTTTGCCAGTGTTGTGGTTCACCGGCAGCAGGTGAGGATGGCTGAAGCCTTGGAGAGCGAGGACTCAGGTGAGGGGCCTGCGTGTGATGCAGGGATGGGGCCAGGACCATCAGGGAGTGGAGTGCTGCCTTCGGAGATGGTGAAGGCTGGCAGCAGTGAGGAAGAGCTCCCCGAGGAGCCTGTGCCCAGTGCATGTGTGCGCAGGGCTGCTTGTAGGAAAGAGCAGCTGCAGCAGCACGGGCGACTCGGGAGTAAGGCTGAAAGGGGATGGCCCCTCCCTTAAGGGATAAAAGCCAGCCTAAGAGACCGGGATTCTTTGCTGGAAGCAAAGAAGTTTTTGCACTCAAGTCTTGTGGACGTTTGGAATATATTGGTTGGTGTTTGGAGACTCTTTGTATTTGAAATATTTCTTGGCAACTTTATCTAATGTTCTTGGCAGCCTTGCACAACCTTGGCAAGGCTCGTTCTTATCAGCGACAATTAGTTTGAAACAGCCTTTTAACCGGGGAGGAATGGAATTTGTAAAGAGTCATGAAAAGGTTTTGCTGCTACCTCTGTTTCATGTTTGTTTCCTTGGAACGAGGTTTGGGTCAGAACAACCACGGAGACGTCTTCGGACAGCGCTGGCTCTTCGGCTTTGTAACGGAAATAAGCACCACCTCCTAGAGCAGGAAATGACTAGCACACATTTACCTTTTATTTTGCAGTCTGCATGGCAAGGTGTAAGCACCCCTTCAACTGAAAAAGAATGAACTTCTGAAAGCTAGGCACTTCAAAAGGAATTATTTATTGAAAGGAAGTGAATCCAGTACTAGTCAGAGCAGAATCTGAAATGCTTCCAGGCATACAGTAATAGATAAAGGGAATTAGAACCCCTCCCCTTATTTAGATGTGGATTTAGTCAAACCAAGAACCAACATGTTAATTCCCCTCTCCCCTTCTCTGGGAACATATTCCAGAGCTGGAATTTTTATGGTCCCTTCTCCTCTTGCTGTCTCTCCAAGAGGTGACAAGTTTCTAGCCATCTGGCTCCAGTTCTCCAGTTGTATATAATGTACAAGTTATACAGATTCAATATAAGATTTAATATATTCAGGTTACATCAAAAAGGATCACTTGTACCAACTCCCCCCCACCCCCCCTTCTTCCATAGAAGAATGGCAGATACACGGATCTGACACAAACGTTCCAATGACTCTCTGCGTACCCAAAATTTTCATGTTGACTGGAAGAAGTTACTCGGATGAGTAACAAAATGTCTCCGTTTTAAGAAACTTTGGTCCATGATTTTACCTTTTTTGAGGTATTTTTGGCCTGGATGATTAAGCCTTCATATACATATATAGACATATGAGAGTTTGGTAAAAAAAAAAAACCAAGAACTGTCTAGTTAAAAATTGAGATGATGGAAGGCGATTTTCTGGGATTCCCTGAATCTTCAACAACTTTCTCCTAAAAGTTCAGGGATTGCCAACTGGTAGAGACTTATCCAGGTTGTAATGGATTTATAGATGTGCGATGACACGATTGCCAGGAGAGTAACTCTGTGCGTGCAAGTTTTCCATAAACATCAGATAAATGCTTCATCCATTGAATAAAAGGCTTCCCATCTCCCACCCTTCAACGTAAATGCAGAGGAAATGAAGACTGTGATTAATAAAGGACATAAGGTATGACCGTACATGCCAGATTGCTGGACAGCACTGGCTGCAATAACCTAAATCCAAAACCAGCGCCCAAATGAAGAGGAATTCTGAGGAAGAATATTCTCTTTTGTTGTCGTTTTATCGCTTTGCTCTTTTTATGGTCTCCTTTTTGGGTTGGTTTGGTTTTTTTTCTTCTTCTGTGAACTGGCCGGAGTCTTTACAACTGTTAGAAATCAATGTTACGCCAGCAGTACTTCAAGACAAGCCAAAATTGGTACAATATCCTCCTTTCCCCCCTTTTCTGAAAAGTCTAAATAATGCAAGAGAAACCTAAAATGGCTGCAGAGATTCTCAGTCCTTCAGGTCATGGTTGTCCCAAAGGTGCTTTTTCAAGAACCAACTGGGCTTTCTTGTTTTTTTTTTTCTTTTTAAGATGTTTCCCTTCTCATCCAAGAAGCTTCTTCAGCTCTGACGGGATAGTGGGGAATGGAAGGATTTACATTCCTTGCAGACAGAACTGGTCATTTGCATCCTTTTAAAGGGACGCTGAAGCACTTGGAGGTTTATCCAGAGGAAAAATTGCTACAGGAACCGGGAGCACCACTCAGGTAACCCCGAGGACACAGATAAACCTCCAAGTGGCCTCAAAGGCTGCAAATGACCAGCTGTCTGCAAGGGTTATTTCTAGCTTTCATATTTTTTCTCTAGCCATTGATAAAATAATTCCCATATCTGATAATATTCAGTTTGTTTCGCAAGTGTTAGCCTGCTTGTTTCTGCCGATTCTAGTATTTTCCTTATGACATCTTCTTCTGTCGGAATCTTTTCATTTTTCCAATTTTGTGCAAATACGGTACAATTCTAGCTGCGGTTACTACATGGGTAATTAAAGGTATTTTATATTTTACTGTAAGTTTCTAGTATAATCCCCAACAAAAATATTTTCAGGTCTTAAATCTATGTGGTGTATCATTTTTTCCAACCACGTATGTATTTTTGTCCAGTATCTTTCAATGAAAGTTTCAAAGGACCTGGAGGAAAGGAAGTGGAGGTTGGAGAACTACTGAAGATCAACCGTTTTGGGGGACATTTCTGCCTTCTGCAAAAAATATGCGTCTTCCTTCCTCCCGGAAGAATTGGCAGCCATCTCTCCATGGAAACTGGTTTCTGATTTCTTCTGCTTCTGAATTTCTTCCCTCTTCTCTCTGGTGCTCTGCAGGTGCCTGGTGGAACCTGACTCCAGGAACGCCATACCTGGGTGAACTTCTGAGCTGGGGAAAGACTGAGAGGCTTATGTGGAGCTGCTGGTTGAAGTCTCAGTGCCTAGCCAAGATACCCAGGAGGAGGGAAAAGGAGAAAGGCGAAGAGCACCAGAGGTGAAATCTGCTGTAGCCATGGTAGGTCCTGCTGGCCGGTCACCCAAGGGGTATGGGGAGAGGACAAAGAACATCACCCTGGAGCACAGAGGGCTGTCCTTCCCGGCTTAGTAAACCCGTTTTGCTAAACCAGCTATCCACGGGCTCTTGCAAAACAGGGCTGCGTTAACGCCTGCCCGGCTCTTAAGCTGTGGAAAATAGACCTTGATTTATAGCAGGGACACCGTAGAAACCCCAGTGTGGCGTCGGCGTGGCATGAATTATTAAGCGCTGGAGGGGAAGTTGGGCATAAATAACCTTTCCTAATAAAAGTGACATTTGCGAGTTGCAACCTTGAACTCAGAAAGGTCCACGGGGAGGGGTTGCCCTCTTCCCTGGGGGTCTCCATGTCTGTGATTAGAAGGGCATTTCCCCCCCCCCTGCCCCTTTCTCCTGCCAGATGGCAGCGATATGGCATTTATATCTATCTACCTATATCCATCCATCCATCCGTATAGATATATTTATATATTCATATAAGATAGATATATATCGGTAGGTAGGTAGGTAGGTAGGTAGGTAGGTAGGTAGGTATAGATAATAGATAAATGATATAGATAGATGATAGATAGATAGATAGATAGATAGATAGATAGATAGATAGATAGATGATAGAGATAGATGATAGAGATAGATAGATAGATAGATAGATAGATAGATAGATGATAGATAGATAGATAGATAGATAGATAGATAGATAGATAGATAGATGATAGAGATAGATGATAGAGAGAGAGAGAGAGAGAGAGAGAGAGAGAGATAGATAGATAGATAGATAGATAGATGATATAGATAGATGATATAGATAGATGATAGATATAGATGATAATAAATGATATAGATAGATGATTGATAGATAAATAAATAGATAGATAGATGATATAGATAGATGATAGATATAGATGATAGATAGATAGATAGATAGATAGATAGATAGATGATAGATAGATAGATGATAGATAGATAGATAGATGATATAGATAGATGATAGATATAGATGATAATAAATGATATATATAGATGATAGATAGATAGATAGATGATATAGATAGATGATTGATAGATAAATAAATAGATAGATAGATAGATGATATAGATAGATGATAGATATAGATGATAGATAGATAGATAGATAGATAGATGATATAGATAGATGATATAGATGATAGATATAGATGATAATAAATGATATAGATAGATGATAGATAGATGATAGATAGATGATAGATAGATAGATAGATAGATAGATAGATAGATAGATAGATAGATAGATAGATAGATAATTATACACACGCCCATCCATCCATCCATCCCACCATCCTGGAAGGGTGCTTTCCCCTTCTGTGGTCTTCTTTGATGGTCGGGGACACAGAGGTAGGCCTGCGTCTTCTCCCCAAAGCTGCTGAAGAGATGGATGGCTTTGAAGGCACCATTGATTCGGTCCCGCCAACCAAGAAGATCAGACTCTGGGTTTTTGGGGGGGATGTTATCCCTCGGGGTGGGTGACCAAGTTGGAACAAATAAAGGGACTCACACCTGTTCTCTGGCTGTGTTGCCTTCGTGCCACGCCCTGGGTCATCACAAGGTCCTTGTTTGGGTTCTCATGATGGTGTGTGATGATCTACCTTGTCCTCGATCATCTCGGGGAACCTCACCTTGACCTCTGTCCCTTCCTGCCTTCTCCCCAACCAGAGATCAATCCGATCGTTTGCTAACGATGACCGGCACGTGATGATGAAACATTCAACGATTTATCCGTCTCCAGAAGAACTCGAAGCCGTCCAGAACATGGTTTCCACCGTCGAATGCGCCCTTAAGCAGGTCTCCGATTGGATGGACGAGACAAGCAAGTCTTCCCAGATGGAGGGCAGCTCGGAGGAGAAAGAAGAGACGGCTGATGGCCGGAGTAGCAAGTGAGTGGGCAAAAACGTGGTCTGATCTGTTTTATATTTTAGCTAGGATCCTTGAGGTCCAACCATCTAGTGATGGGTGGAAAATTTACTCCGTGCACACATCATGTAGGGTCATCTACTTGGGCTTTGAAGGTTCGTTGGTGTGGAGAACATTTAGTGAAGAACATTAAACGGAGACATTTCTTCCCGGCAGAAGAAGGGGCCTCCCCTCTTCTTTCCTGTGGCCAGGAAAGAACCGGGGCTGGGCTTGGAATAGTCAGCTCATCTTTCTGCAACCTTGAAGTCTCCTCAGCCAGAGTTACTTTACTTTATTGTCATTGCACCCCGTATAACAAAATTAAATGGCATCTTCGGTGTACATTATACATACATAAGAAAAGTATAAAAATAAAACACAAACACACATCCTTCACGTTCTATGCAAATGAATTGAAAACTCCTGATATTGCATTAATATTGCACTATATAGTAGAATTCAGAGGTGGGTATTCAGCAGGTTCTGACCAGTTCTGGAGAATCGGTAGCGGAAATTTTGAGTAGTTTGGAGAACCGGCCAATCCCACCTCTGACCCCGCCAACCCCATCTCTTCTCTGCCTCCCATTGAGTCCCAGCTGATCGGCTGGGTCTTCTTTGGTTGCCCTGCCCAGGAGAACGGAGCTGGAAAGCAGGTTAGTGGGGTGGGGAGGGAATAGGGATTTTGCAGTATCCTTCCCCTGCCACGCCCACCAAGCCATGCCATGCTCACTACAGAACCGGTAGTAAAAAAATTTGAATCCCACCACTCGTAGAATTCAGTATAGTTACTGCCCTGGGATAGAAGCTGTTTTTCAGCCTGTTTGTCCTTGTTTTTATTATTATCCTGTACCGTCTGCCAGATGGTCATAGTTCAAAATAAGAATGCCCAGGATGAGACGGATCTTTAAGGATGTTTGAACTTTGTTAACGCAGCGGGAGCTATGAAGCTCTTCCAAAGAGGGGAGAAGGCAACCCATGATCCTCTGAGCAATGACGTTAACCCTCTGGAGCGCTTCCCTATCTGCCCCTGTGCAATTGGCAAACCCTACAGAGGTGCAGTAAGTTAAGATGCTCTCTATGGTGCAGCGGTAGAAGGTCACCAGCAGTTTTTCACTCAGTTGCTTCCTGAGAAGTCTCAAGTAGTCTAATCTCTGCTGGGTCCTTTTGACCAGGGCTGCAATGTGATTCCCCCCAGGTCAAGTCCTCTTTTAGGGTAACACTCAGAAACTTAAAACTGGCCACTTGCTCCCCTCGGTCTCCCTGGATAAGCAAGGGCTGGAGGTCTGATCTGTTCCTTCTAGAGTCCACTATAAGCTCCTTGGTCTTATCGGTGTTGAGGACCAAGTTATTGTCTCCACACCACAAAAGCAACTGGTCCATCTTATCTCGGTAGGCAGACTCATCCCCCCTGGAGATGAGTCCCACCACTGTTGTATCGTCATTGTGGAGAAGGAGGAGAGCTGAGCTATCTCTGCCTTCCAGAGTCCGTGAGCCAAGAGGGTTGGAGGTGTAGCTGTCAGCTGAAGCATCTCGGGTTAAATAAGGCGAGGCGGTTTAGGGGGGGCCGCTGAGGAGCATTTGGTGTTCAGTTCCAAGTCGGCGGAGTTCAACATTGTAACCTGACATGGCTGTGGGGGCCTCTGCTAGATTAGCAGTCATAGGGAGAGCTTAAAATCTTTGCTTGGATTAGCCAGGACGAGTCGTCCTACCAGGAAGGAAGCCACACGTGGACCTAGAACAGGCGTGAGCAACCCGTGGCTCTTTCATCCCTCTGCTGTGGCTCCCTGTTCCTCAAAATATGCACTGCAACTGTCAATGTGCGACACTCGCTGGCATGCGATTTATTGATAAATCCAAGAAAAGAAAAGCTACAGAAGAAAAGAGAATCTTTAATTCAACTATTGACTGTTTCCTTGTATGATTTGATTGCTTATTATACCTTTTGGCTATCATTAAGTGTTGCACCTGATGATCCTTGACTCTTGACGAATGTATCTTTTCTTTTAGGTACACTGAGAGCATTTGCACCAAAGACAAATTCCTTGTGTGCCCAATCACACTTGGCCAATAAAGAATTCTATTCTGTTCTTATTCTATACTATACTATATTATATTATACTATTCTATATTCTATTCTACTCTACTCTACTGTATTCTTTCCTATTCTATTCTTATTGTACCCTATGACTATTATTAAGTGTTGTACCTGATGATTCTTGACTCTTGATGAAAGTATCTTTTCTTTTATGTACACTGAGAGCATTTGCACCAAAGACAAATTCCTTGTATGTTCAACCACACTTGGCCAATAAAGAACTCTGTTCTGTTCTATTCCTTCCAATATTTATTCTATTCTATTCCGTTCGATTCCATTCCTTCCTGTTCTGTTATTATTCTATTCTAATTCTAATTCTATTTTATTCTATATATGCTAGTTTTGTGGCCACTCAGGAAATAGTCAGGCAACGGGAAGGGTTCTCTGGCTCCCGGTGTTTTCTGTGGGAAAGAGGCTCTTTTGGCTGTTTAAGGTTGCTGACCCCTGGCCTAGAAGAGCTACCTCCCCATAGCTTTGTATTCGCAACCTGGGTCAGTTGGGAAAACAGCCAGAGCGGTTGGTCTGCTTCGTTGAGTTCTTGGTGGCGGTTGTTTTTTTTTTAACTTGCTTTTATTTTATTTTTTTAAGCCCACAGTCCACACATTTGGACTCTGAGGCTAGATGCTGTGAAGCCCATTGATGCGTGCACAAACAAATTGTCGGGAGATAGAAAGTCAATGGCGCAAAACAAATAATCCATGCTTAAGATAAAATGGATTTGCTGATGGCTATCGGAGGAGTCCCAAAGCACTAATTGGCTGACTCTCCACACTCCTGATCCTTCCCGTTCCACTGTTTGAGTTGTAATTAATGGACCTGATGTCATGCAGTCCAAAGGGTGGGGAAATACCCTCCCTCCTTGCCCCTCTGGTCCTGGGAGTTATACGGAGTTTATAGGTCAGTGTATATTCTCCCTTTAATAGAGAGATTGCCTGGGAGGAGGGCAGGCAATTTATCCTCCAGGACTCAAACCCAACTATTAGGCCCGCAGTGGCGAAATTCTGTGTTGCTGCAATGTCTACAGGGGAAAAAAAAATGGTTACAGAATTAGAGCTGTCAATTTGTGCCAATTTGGGGAGATATAACGATCTTGGGAAAATGATATTTGCACACATACTTATTGGATTTCCACTCATATAAACCAGGGAGTGACCCTAACTGTTTGAGAATATTTTCTTAACAGGGATGTTATTATCCACTATTAATGTACTATGATACATCAGTACTATTTTTTATGTATATATTGTAAATAGTGATATCTATTGCTGGTCTAAGACTATAATCAAGTTCTATTCTGTTCTGTTCTGTTCTATTCCATTCCATTCCATTCCACCATTCCTTTCCTTTCCTTATTCTTTCCTTATTGTATTCTGTTCTGTTCTGTTCTGTCGCTGAAGAAGCTCAAACCGGAAGCTCAGCAGCCCAATCTCTTCTTAAAAACTCCCAGGGATGAAACCTCCACAACTTCTGAGGGCAACTCCTGTTGATTGCTCTCACTGTCAGAAAATTCCTCCTTATTTCCAGATTGTTCTTGATCAGTTTCCATCCATTATTCCTTTTCTGGCCTTCAGGTGCTTTGGAAAACAGGTTGACCCCTTCCTCCTCCTCTCTGTGGCAGCCCCTCAAATCTTGGAAGGCTGCTCTCCTGTCTCCCCTGGTCCTTCTCTTCCCTAGACTAGCCAGGCCCAGTTCCTGCAACCGTTCTTCATATGTTTTAGTCTCCAGTCCCTTCATCATCCTGGTTGTTCTTCTCTGCACTTTTTCTAGAGCTGGTTTTGCTTCTTCTGTGGCAATGTGGATTTATTCAGTAAAGTTTCCATTCTTAGTAAAATAATAATCCTTTTTCTGGGTTCGCCAACTGTGTAGATGACATTAAATCAGCTCTGAGCTTCCCATGCAAACAGTTTGTATTCCTTCTGCCTTTACCTACTGCCCTTTTTCATTGACCTGGTTAGGAATAGAATAGAATAGAATTCTTTATTGGCCGGGTGTGATTGGACACACAAGGAATTTCCCTTGGTGCAAATGCTCTCAGTGTACATAAAAGAAAAGAGACATTCGTCAAGAGTCAAGAATCATAAGGTAGAACACTTAATGATATTCAAAGGGTACAATAAGCAATCAAATCATAGGAGTTCCGATTGTTGCAGAGAGCTTTTAAGCTTGCAATAAATCTTTATACTCTTTGCATTGCCTGGATCTGCTGATTTTCCCAGCGCTGGACAATTTGAAACCTGTGATGTGTGTCCCATCTGGGCGAGATCTGCTCTGTGCTCTTGTGTGAATTATTGTAATGCCACCCAGCCCAGATATTCCTCTGTCTGGAGTGGAGATTAATGTTTTAAGTTGAGGTGGTTGGTACTGATCGAGAGATTTTCCTAGCTTTGGGGGAGAGGCGAAGCTGCCTCCTTAAAATAAATCCATGCATAGTTAAACCCAACCTATCCAGGAGGATAGTGATGCTTCCTGAAGGAAGATCAGAAGGAAGGAAGATCAGAAATGAAATATAAGGGCAAAAGTTGTTGTTTGGTTGCTTCATTGAATGTGCAGCCTCTTTCCCCCTGGTTCTCTCTGCTGGATTTTTTTTTTTTCACATGAGCTGGTGCTAAATTTGCGGTGCTGTTTTCTTCCATGGGTGGATAAACGCTTTTGGCGAGATGTTCCTTGGGAAGTTTTCTTTGCCACAAGAAAGACGAGGAGAGAGGGGTGGAAAAAAAACCCCATATCCCAGATTCTCTGGAGCAGAAAAGGAACGGTGACTGGAAGAAGGATGGTGTGGAGCCTTAAATGCAAAATTTATTAGTTTAAAACAAAAAACAAAAAAAACCTTGACGTGGCAGATTACGTGGCCCAGCTGTGCCGTGTCCTTACATCAATGTGGGGATTTTCAGACGCGGCAGCTGCCTGGTTGAAGAGGCTACTTTGCATAAGAGTAGGGTTCCATTTGCCCTTCAGCTGTTATGTGTGTGTGTGTGTGTGTGTGTGTGTGTGTGTGTGTGAGAGAGAGAGAGAGAGAGAGAGAGAGAGAGAGAGAGAGAGAGAGAGAGAGAGAGCTGAGCTGCGGGCTCCACCGACTTGGAACCAGCATTTTTTGAAATCCCAGCCACCCGTTGTCCCTGAGCCGTTGACACCATGGTCTTGGGGTGAGTTGCGTTATTCTCTGGAAGCCAAAACAGCTGCTCTAATGAGTTAACAGCCTGACATTCACATTTTTGCACTCTCTGAAGCCTTGCACGTCCCTTCTGGGCTTAAGAGAGCCAAGCAGGTGGGTGCAAAACAGAACAACAACAATAATAATAATTAATAATAGCAATAGCACATAGACTTATATACCGCTTTATAGTGCTTTGCAGCCCCCCTCTAAGCGGTTTACAGAGTCAGCCTCTTGCTCCCCAACAATTTGGGTCCTCATTTGACCCACCTCGAAGGAGGGAAGGCTGAGTCAACCTGGAGCCTGGTGGGATTTGAACTGCCAAATTGTAGGCAGCTGGCTGCAGAAGTAGCTCGCAATACTGCACTCTAACCACTGCGCCACAGAGGCTCCTCAATAATACCTGAACAGTTGCTAGGTCCTTGGTTAGGACTCGAGCTGTTGAGCTATCAACCAGCCCCAAAGGCTGTGAATCTCACATAATAATAATAATAATAATAATAATAATAATAATAATAATAATAATAATAATAATTGCAAGCAGAAGTAGAACGACTGTGGCGAAAGAAAGCAGAGGTGGCATCCGTAGTCATGAGAGTCTTCGTGTGATGACCCAGAGTATATCAGAAATATAACAAAATCCAAAATGTCACTAAAAGTCCTTTAATGCGTCCAACTTGGCTTCACTGTTTAATTGTTCACACTAGAGTAAACTATTTTCAAAATAACATTTCAAAGGCAAGGAATACAGTTCACGTTCAAAGCGCCGATAACAAAGACAAAACGGAATAAAGTTTCCACGACAGACCAGGATAGATAATTACCAGCTTCAGGAAGATAACCAGGGACAGTCGGTTGGAAGAACGCCAACCAAGATAAACCTTCTTTAGGAATCAAACACTAAATTGTCTCCAGCGTCGGTTAGCACGCAGGTCCAAACTCTTATGCAGCTCTCACACCTGCAACCCATGAAGGGGATCATGGCCCTCTCCTCCTGAGTAGACCACCTTTTACCCTGATCCTCTCCTCCCCGCGTGCCCTAGGATGGATAGGGGATGGGCCTGGGTCCTCCTCTGACTGCTCAGAGTCAGTCTCCACCAGGGGCATGACACTTCGGTGCGATCCCCAAAACCACTAGAGTACTGTTACGGGCACTTTCGTCATTGACAAAAATCCCCGTTGGTCAATTGCAGAAGGCAGTTTTACTAGGAACCGCTTACATCCTGCAAGGAGATCTTTTAAAACCCTCAATAGGTGGACGGAAATGCCAGATCCAGTCTAAATACCTGCTTAAACTGTGCTGTGAACTGTGATATAGGTAGCCCTCGACTTACAACAGTTCATTTAGTGACTGTTCATTGAGTGACGGCACTAAAAAATGGGACTTGTGATCATTTCTCACATGACCTTTCCAACATCCCTGTGCTCATGTGACCAAAATCCAGATGCTTGGCAACTGGTTCATATTTATGACCATTGCTGTGTGCTGAGGTCACGTGACCACCTTTTGCAACTTTCTGATCAGGGGAAGTCAATGGGGAAGCCAGATTCACTTAACAACTGTGTGACTCACTTAACAACAGCAGGGATTCCCTTAACGGTGGCAAGACATTTTCATAAAATGGGGCAAATCTCACTTAACAAACGTCTCACTTAACCACAGAAATATTGGGTTCAGTTGTGGCTGTAAGTTCCAGAACTATCTGTAATTTATGATTTGAACGCCATTGGCATTGACAGAATGCCCATCGGTCAATTGCAGCAGGCAGCATTGCTTGGAACAGCTTACATCCTGCGAAGATGTTTTCAGCACCATCAAACTTCCACATCTGCCTACCCCAGGTCCTTGGGAAGCTCTCCAGAGGTGTCAGCCTTCAAGATTTTTTCTACTGCTTTGCCATAAGTAACGGGGGGGAGGGGATATGTCTGGGAAGAGAGCTGGAGGTGTTACATTCTTGTGTTGTGTAAATGAGGAGTGAGGGGGGGAATATAAATTCCTGCTCTTAAGTTTCTCTTCCTCGCTTAGCTTTCTTTTCTCTGCGCAGCTGCAAATCTTTATCAAAATATGTCAAGGTCAACGGACAGAGGCCTCATCACCACCTGAAGTTGCCCACATGATCATATTCACAACTTTTAATTGGAAGACTCCTTTGAACTATGAGGGGTGGGAACGTTTCCAACACGTTGTTATATGTGGTCTGCGCGCCTAATTTCTCAGATTCAGAATTCTATTTGATGCTACCACTTCACTTTCAGTAAAAGATTTCCTTGCTCTAACCTAAAGAGTCTCAAGTTTTTCTTTCTTGAATTTTGAATGGAGCACCACCTGACAGGGCCAAATCCAGTCTTAAGCATCTGGCTGAATGTGCAACCAATCATAATAATGAAATTTCCTCTTCCGCAGGGAGCAAGGTGGCCGGATCTTGTGTGGCGTGATGAGGATTGGTTTGGTGGCCAAAGGCTTGTTGATAAAGGACGACATGGACCTGGAACTGGTACTGATGTGCAAAGAAAAACCCACAGAGTCCCTCTTATCCCTCGTCAAAGACAATCTACCTGTCCAAATCCAGGTGAGCCCAGCTCTAGAAGCCCACATTTATAACTACCCATGTTTCCCTGAAAATAAGACCCTGTCATATATATATATATTGCCATCAAAAAAGGCACCAGGGCTTATTTTCGGGGGATGTCATCCACTGACTATACTACGTCGCCCCCGGCCTCCTTTTCGCTGTCGGAGGCCTTTGGGAACTTCTTCTGTGGCCAGCAAAGCTTTCCTGAAGGACTCTGGATCGATCCAGAGCTTTGTTATCAGCTCCAGGGGCCTTTAGGAAACCCTGGCCAACCTTGCCGGCTGCAGAAGAAATGGGCCAACAAAACAGGTGTTGAGATGCGTGAGGCCTGCTACAATTGTCCAAAGGTAAGTAGTAGGGCAGCTCCACCCCCCATCTCCATCCTAGCTTAATTTTTACTTGTCCACTCGAGTGGGTGGGATCTTAATTAGGGCTTATTTGGAGTGTAGGGCTTACATTGGGCCCACATGTAAAAATCAAGCTAGGATTTATTTTCAGGGTAGGTTGTATTTTTGGGGAAAGAAGGAATCTCCGGATGCTGCTTCTCCTCCCTGTTTATTATCTGGGCGTAGAAGAAATGTTTCCCGGTTGTTGGTTTTCCGCAACCAAGGAAAAAAATGGGGGCATCTTAAAAATGTATCCCAAAGGAGCATCTTTTCAGTGGACAAAGAGGTTTTGCTGGGACCAAGAGTGTGTTTTATGCTTTCTAAGGAAGCCTTGGTCAGCACCTCATCTCTGCCAGAGATTCTAGAAGGCATTAAAAACAGCAACAAACCCAAATGACCATTTCCTCCCCAAAAGAAGACTCAAAAGGATCGCTTTGCTGGTGCTGTGGTTGTTGAAATGTTCATAGCTGCAGTTCCTGCAAAAACGATCGGTTAGCTCGTTGCCGCCGAGGTGGAGGTGAGGGCCGGGCGTTTCTCCGCCGGGCTCCAGCTCTTCTCCCCGCGGCTTGACGGAGGCCCGTTTTCTGGATATTGTTTCAGAAACTCACCGAAGAGAAGTACCACATAGAACACCATCCCAGCGAAGCGGCCATCGTCATCCGTAGCACAACGGGGCTCCCCCTCACCCTCAAGGTGACACTCACCTCTCCGCTAACCCGGGATGAAGCCGAGAAGAAGGACGGAGGTAAAGAGAGACGTTGGAAGGGAGAGGCTGAGCCTTGGGTGAAAGGGGTCTCACTTGTGGCCCCCACGGGAAGGGGGTTTATGCATTTGATCATAGAATAGCAGAGTTGGGAGGGACTTTGGAGGTCATCTAGTCCAAGCAGCAGAGCCTATTCCAAAGATGAGCCTCTACCTAGGATCGAACTCACAGCCTCCTGATTGTGAGGCGAGAGCTGCTTTCTGGTCACCAAATAGCAACAGCGCTTTACAGTGCTACTACAGCTCCCTCTAAGCGGTTTTTACAGAGTCAGCCTCTTGCCCCCCCAACAATCTGGGTCCTCGTTTTACCCACCCCGGAAGGCCGAGTCAACCTTGAGCCGGTCAGGATCGAATTGCCGACAGTCGGCAGAATTAGCCTGCAGTACTCCATTCTCACCACTGCGCCCCTCTGCCGCCAAAGATACTGCTCGGATTTCTAGAAGTATAGAAAACGTGTAATTTCCTACGACGCTGCCTGATCCAAAGACTTGCAGGATTGGCAGCCAAGTGTGAAACCAGCACACTTCTGGAGTGAGCTGGTCCCGGACTGTAGAAAGCTTTGGATTTCTACAGACTGGAAACTGATGATCCGGTGGGTCCAAGGCCCAAGGGAACAGGGATTAGATGGGTTTTAGTGTGCCTCCAGCTCTGAATCCAGTTCAGAGGTATGGATTTGGGGCTAAGCATGAGAAGAAAATTTGCCAACTGACATTATAAACCTCTGGAGATAGTCCTCTCTCTTTCACTGGAGGCTGATTTGGAGGTAGGAGAAGCCGTTTTTTGGTTCCTTTCGAATGAAGTGGTTCTAGAAACCGTTCGAGTCGTATTTCCGTTTGTGCCCAAGGAAGAGAAAGGTTTCTAAAGTCAGTCCCTATTTTCATTCTCTCTCTATAAAAGCAAAATACCACTCAAGCATCGTCACAAAATCTCCTGAATTATAAAGCGCGCAAACTTGAAATTTGGCACTTAACGTTCCTCTTGGCTTTTAGAGGAAGAAAGGAAGAAAAATCCTTTCTCACTAAGAAAGGATTTTTCGAAATGACCATCAGAGCATTTGTATTTCATATATTATAATTATTATTAACACGCTCTGATGCTAAGGAGTTCTACTCCCCCTCCCCACCTGAAAAGAAATTTCCTCCAAGTGCAAAACACAAGCAGAGGAGAGGAGTTTCAGTTTCAGAGCACCAAGCAGCTTTAGTACAGAACAGTTGAGCTAAGCCACGCCCAGGCTCCTTACTGTCTCCTTGCTCACACAGCAAATACTCTTTGTTTCCAAACAGCCCTCAACTCTCTCACACACTGACAGGACACTAGGCAGGTTACCAGTGGATGCTGGTAGGCAGAGGCAGAATTTTTTCCCCCTTATTTTCCTCCCCCAATCTAAGCCCGACCACATAGTTTTGTAGCGAAGCACGGGGATTGAGCTAGTAATTTTATAATCTTATAAGGAAGTCCTTTGAGTTGGTTTACGTCCCACCAAGTGACCTTCAATTCACCACTGAAGTTGTCTTCTGCTTTGCTATCAGTTGACAATCAATATCTGGTCACTTTGCTTTAAATGCTGCCTGCCGATGAACAGGAGACAATTAACGTGAGAAAAGAGTTCTGTCCAAACCATAAAATGTTGTGTGTTTCCTTTTCCTTACAAACATACTGACACGCCGAACGAAAGCTTGGTTTCCACACGGCCCAGTTGAAGTTACAGCTGACTTCCACGGACGAACCGGATGGTCCTTTGTGAAATTTTATCTGGTTCATTCCTCGCTGGGCCCCTTTCTCCTGCTTCTGTGTCTGCCTTGACTTTCCGTCTGCAAGAAGACACAGCGATGGCTGGTGTGATCTTCCGCGTCAAGGAGAGAACAGCAGTGAATCCAGCCTAATTTCACAGTCCCTCTCTTCTCAGGCCCCTCACAATGTGACTGTGGAGGTCTTTGTCCTTGGAATTAAGCCCAGGCATCTTGGATGGTTTATCCGTCAAAAAATCCAGGGTGGCTTTGTTTAATTGAATGGGTTTCCACCCCTCTTTCAGGGTCCTGTCCTGACTTGAACCATTGGCAACTGTCAGGGTCCCAAGTCACCCCCCCCCCCCCAGCAGAATCAAAACTCCAAGGCAGGCATATTCCTCAAAGCACAGATTTAATAGGCAATGTCATATTGGCACGTCTGAGGGACGCGGTGGCTCAGGGGCTAAGACGCCGAGCTTGTCGATCCGAAAGGTTGGCAGTTCGGCGGTTCGAACCCCCAGCGCCGCATCACGGAGGGAATTCCCGTTCCTTGTCCCAGAAGCTTCTGCCAACCCAGCAGTTCGAAAGAACGTAAAGGATGCAAGTAGAAAAATAGGGACCACCTTTGGCGGGAAGGTAACAGGGTTCCGTGCGCCTTCGGGATGGAGTCATACTGGCCACATGACCACGGAGACGTCTTCCGACAGTGCTGGCTCTTCTTCGGCTTTGTAACGGAGAGGAGCAGCGCCCCCTGAAGTTGGAAATGACTAGCATGTGACTTAGCTCCTTTACCTTATCGGCACGTCTGGGGGAAACCCGACTTTTAATATACACCCCTGGTTTCCCCCCAGTTAAAAGTAAAGTTTTCCTTGCCCTACCCCTGCACTCCATCCAATCAGGCCACAGTCCGAGGGTTCGTTGGTCTCGGATCCCACCTCCTTAGCACCTGGTGGGAAAATCCTTGGTTCCCAGAGGAAAGAATTTTATTTTGGCTACAATCCTCAGCTATCTCTACTTCCCCCCTCCTGTTCCCCAGCTCGGCTCCTCTCCACTGTGACAACCCTGTAGGTGCCAAGGGGAAAATGGCTTCGGGCGTGACAGCAACTTCGATAGGGATGTCAGAGGTCGCTGAGCCCCCTTTCCCCGTGGTTCGTGTTTTTCTTCCTGAGCTTACCCCCATAGGCCTCTGCTTGCCTTTCCTCCTTGCAGTATCAAGCCAACATCACTGTAGGTCCATGAGTGCCATGGGTGGCACGCAGAGCCATTTGTGTGGGCACGCAAGCCCCAGCCAAACTTACCCGCACTGTGCATGTACGTGCCTCCCAGCTGATTTTCGGCCCATTTGAGGCCATTTTTGCCCTCCTGGAGGCTGCAGCCTTGGGAGGCTGAAAAATGGGCCTTCCGGAAATACCGCAAGTGCCGAAACAGGCCCGTTTTTCGGCCTCCCAAGGCTGCAGAGGCTTTCCTCGAATCCCCAGGAGGGCGAAAACAGCCTCAAACGAGCCAAAAATCAGCTGGGAGCCACACATGCGCAGTGCAGGTAAGGAGGCAGGTGTATGTATGTCGTGCGTGCATGTGTGTGAGGGGGGGCAGGTGCATTGCATTGTGGGTGCCAGCACACACACACATTTTGGCACACCACCACAAAGAGGTTCACCTTCACTGCTGTAGTACCTGCGTCCTTGATGTTGGATCTGCTGCCTTTTGGAGCAGGCCAGCTAGGACTTCCTACGGTTTTGGTTGAGAGGGATCCACGCTGATCCCCAAAAAGGAGCCCGGAGCAGATTTGAGAGTTGTTCCCCGTGTCCTGGCCATCAACAACGTTCTATTTTTTTTTATGGTTGTTGCTGCCATCCTTTGAAAGGGGAAGCATTCGGCCCCAATCTAGCCTTTGCACAAATTCTATCGTGGAAGGAACAAATTTGATTTTCCTGCCCTGATGCCACCAACTGGATCAGTTTAGCAGCAAATCTTGAACGCCCACCGTTCGGTTGGCAGTCTTCCCAAAACTGTGCATATGCAGACAAAAGAAGGGATTCAACGTGCTCTTTTTACTATTGTTTTTTTTTAAAAAATTATTATTAAAAAACACACAAACAAAAGCGTTTTCTATTATGAGTCCATTTATTAATTTTTGTCCATTTGCTGGCAGTTTTTCGATGTAGTAAAACTGTGTCTTTATGGAGGGTCTGTCATCTGGATGAATGGCTCCTCTGTTCGTCCATTCCCCCTCCCCTCCCAGTCCTTGGGGTGGGGGGTGGGGTGAATCCCTTTCCCTACCCTGTACCAGCTGCGGGGAGCAATGAATGACAGCCCGCCCGCAACCCAAAAACTCCCCCATCACGGTTGATCTGGTGACTTCAGGGATCTTAGCTTGGCCTGATGTAACCTTCAGATATTTCTTCAGTTCCACTTCCAAATAACTGAGGCTGTTGAAGGTGTTGATTTGCTATCATGATGGGTTCTCTTAGAGGTGTATCTCTTTCCTCCTCACTCTGCCCTCCGTTGTTTTAATGGACTCCCCGTGGCTTGAAGTCAGGAGAAAAAGAGAGATGGGTTTTTCTGAGGGAAACCTGGGTTTCTGGGTAAAAAGCTGGTGTAAGTTGACGTGGCCCATTGTTGGGCCAAGAAAGAAGCCCAAGTGAGAAGAAGAAGAGGTCAATTAACCTTTAGAAGAAGGCCTCATGTTGACACAGATTCCACCATACATCCATTTGCAATGCTAATGCCCCTTCTTTCTTCACCCTGGTCTCCTCATGACCTATTGTATCTTCTCAACCTTACCTAGAACCTCCTTACTAACCTTTCACCACCATTGATGGACAGGCATGAACCGATGACCGTTTTCTACCCATGGTTTTTCCCCAACTGGTCCTCTTCCTCTCTTCCTCCACACCAGCTCCTCTTTCCATTCTTCTCTTTCCCCCCCTCCTCCAAGAGTTTCACTCTCACAATCGCCTCCTCCCAACCAAGAGGCACAACCTTTCGGAAACACCACAGCATAACTTCTCCCCACTCCCACCCCTGTTGCTTTCCAAGGTCTCCCTCGCTCAACCTCTTCAGCATGGCTCCTTCAGGAAGCATTAACCAGCACTGCGAGGGGAAGGTTTTATCTTCCTCCAGGGAGAACCATTAAGGCAGAAGAAGGTTCACCGGGAGGTTCTCAGAATCGTCCGCCATTTGCTTTTCCTTCGCTCTGTGTTAATGGTTGCCCATCTGCACGAGTAGTGAAGGAAGCTGCTAGGACCATTCGTGGTTGGTGAGATGGCCTTGGAGATGGACAGTCTGTCGTTGTTGCTTTTTTTTCTTCCCCTCCTCTCAGGCCTTTCAAGCGAAGTCTTCGTTTACTCACCGATTGCCGTATACGAAGCTTAGATTTGAGCAGATCTTTCTGCCGTGTCTGGGCGGTTGTTTGTGAAAAACGCCGCTCTGTAAATTTGATTAATAAATCAACCAGACGCCATTCGCCTTCCCTCAGAAATACAAATGCTTCCAAAAGCTTAATACGATCCAAATGACTCCAGTTATCCATGGAAGGTGAGACCAGCGAGGTCCTTCCTCTCCGCGGAGAAAGAACCGTTGCCGATTAAAAATTGGGGAGAGAAAAAACAACAATCACAGCTAACTTCCTTTTTTTTTTCTCGAAAAAAACAACAACCAACCAACCAACCAACCCCTCCAAAATTTAGAGTTGTGTCCTTGTTGTGCTTGTGAGCCACCTGATGGCTAATCTTGTCAATGACTATGCAGCTTTTATTGGGCGTCTTGCAGACCCACCAGTAACCCTATGCCAAATTAAAAAAAAAAAAAAATTAAAAAAAAAATCAACTCTGCTGCACAGTTCATAGAGGGTTGACGATAACCGTGTGAAGCTTTGTGGTTACTCAACAAGGCAAGAAGAGCCAACGCAAGGCAGATTTTTGAGGTTTACTCTCTTTTTCGGTTTCTTTACGCCCCGGTGGGTCCATGGTTTTGAGTCAAGGTTGAGGTCTTCCATCTTTGGCAACTTTACAGCTTGTGGACTTCCAAACTCCCCGAATCCAGGGAGTTTGGAAGTCCACACAAGTGGTTAAGTTGCCAATGTTGGAACCGCCTGGAGTAAAGGCATTTCTGAAAGTACAAATACAAAATACAAAGCTATATATTGTGCTTCTGACCACATATTGCATTGTTAACATTCTTCCCCGGGAGAGACGGTGGTTCGGTGGCTAAGATGCTGAACTTGTTGGTCAGAAAGGTTGGCAGTTCGAATCCCTAGTGCCACGTCACAGAGTAAGCTCCCGTTCCTTGTCCCAGCTTCTGCCAACCTAGCAGTTCGGAAGCACGTAAAAATAAAAAAATGCAAGTACAAAAATAGTGGGAAGGGAAGGTCACAGCGTTTTGTGCGCCTTCGGCGGTTAGTCCTGCCAACCACATGACCACGGAGACGTCTTCGGACAGCGCTGGCTCTTCTTCAGCTTTGTAACGGAGACGAGCACCGCCCCCTAGAGCTGGGAACGACTGGCACGGATGTGCAAAGAGAATCTTTCCCTTTACTCTTCCCAGCTAGCAATCTCGGTGTGCGTTCAATCACATCCAACAATTGCTTCCTCTCCTTAAAAAGCAAAGCTGGACAAACAGCAGTTCTGGGGAATTTTTTTCAGAAGAACACACTCCGACACGCCCTTAACTTCCGCCCCAGTTGCTTCTTTCTTGAGAGCTTGAGGCAGCTTGGAAAAAGTTGTAATTCTTATTGCAAGCTCCAAACACAACATTGGCTTGCCTTTAAAAAAAAAGAAGTAAAATTGGTGTGGTTGGTAACCATCACAGCTCCATCCCAAAAGCCGAAGGTGTGACTTGCCTGGGTCCTGCATGGATTTGTGCTGGTTTAGCAGGCTGGGTAGGCAAAATTTCTGAAATGCCCTGGATGCAGAATCTTATCCAGAGAGCTTTTGTGGTCCTGATACGTCCAAGAACCTCTTCACAGATCTCTCTCAGCAAATGTCTTCTCTCAAAATACTTCCACCTAACAAACCTGGCAAAGTATTTTGATGTTTGCTTCAGTCAATCCGTGTCTTATCTAAAAAAAAAAAGTAGAGAAAAATGGACGAAACCCAACAGATATTCCCGCTTTCCAAGAGTTTGTTGGGCCACGCCAACGTAGAAGGCTTCCAGAGGAAAAAGAGTGTAAATTTCAATGATTTGTGGCTGCCTGATCCAAATTGTGAGGAGAACATTTAAAATAACAACGTTCTCTCTCTGCAGATTCCTGGTTTTCTGGGGGTCTTGGCTCTGAGGGATTCTGACCACTGCTTTTTTTGAAAAGGGAAGTGAGCCTACCTAACCGAACGTAAAGCTTTTTAGAGAGCAGTTCTGCTCCCAAATTTTCTTTTTGCCTTGAGAAATCACGAGAACGATGCAAAGCCTCACACTTTGTATAGTCTGCCCCCAAGTTCTTTTTTAACCAATTAATAAGATCCCAGATTGTCTGCAAACACTGGAAAAAAAAAATGGCTTATATATTTTGCTTCTTGTTACGCAACGCCTAATTACTATTATCTTATTTTTATATATATATAAAAAAAGAACAACAACCTGGCATATGTGTTATCTTGTTAAAAAATATGCTTGAGAGGACAAAAATTACGCCGTTAAAATGCAAGCCAGTGCAATTCTGGGTGTCTTATTAAAATTCTTCTGTCTTGCTGGCATTTGTTCTGTGTTTGGGGCATCAGAATTGTCCGCTTGTTCCAACTCTGCATGTCTCTTTTTGTTTTCTCTCATATTCCCATTTTCCCAGTAGACAGTGCCCTGGTGAAAGAACCTTCGGATTTACTCAGCAGGCAAAAATGCCTCGAAGCTTTGGCGTCTCTGCGACACGCCAAATGGTTCCAGGTTGGGCTTTTTGTTCTTACCTATCGTAGCCTTTCAAAAAAAAAGTTTTCTTTTAAAAATAATACTAGAAAATTAAAATAAATCGTATAGTCGTTTAGGTTGGACCTCTCCCTGCAGACAAGAACAGGAACAATTCTGGTTTTTTTTAGGCCAGAGCGAACGGGCTAAAATCGTGCGTGATTGTTCTACGGATCCTCAGAGATTTATGCAACAGAGTTCCTACCTGGGCGCCTTTGAAAGGTTGGGTGAGTGTTGCTGAGTCCTCATTTGCAATAATTTGCTCAGGAGAATGCAGTCCAGAATTAATCTTTTGCCTCTTCTAATTTATTTATTTATTTTATTTATTTGTCAATAGCTTGCAAGATAATAAACATAAGTATAAGTACAGGAAATGGGTACAAATAATTGGGGACAATAGGACAGGGACGGTAGTAGTGGTGGGATTCAAATTTTTTTACTACTGGTTCTGTGGGCGTGCCTTGGTGGGCGTGGTGTGGCTTGGTGGGCGTGGCAGGGAAAGGATACTGCAAAATCCCCCTTCCCTCCCCACCCCACTAACCTGCTTTCCAGCTCCGTTCTCCTGTGCAGGGCAACCAAATAAGACCCAGCCAATCACCTGGGACTCAATGGGAGGCAGAGAAGAGATATGGGGTTGGCGGGGCCAGTCAGAGACGGGATTGGCCGGTTCTCTGAACTAGTCAAAATTTCCGCTACCGGTTCTCCAGAACTGGTCAGAACCAGCTGAATGCCCGCCTCTGGACGGTAGGCACGATTGTGCGCTTATGCACGCCCCCTTACATACCTCTTAGGAAGGGGGCGAGCTCAACAGTGGCTAGTTTGAGGGAAAAGTTTTGGGGACTTGGGGATGTGACCACAGAGTCAGGTAATGCGTTCCAGGCATTGACCACTCTGTTGCTGAAGTTGTACTTTCTGCGGTCAAGTTTGACGTGGTGTACATTAAGTTTATATCGGCTGTGTGCTCTTGTGTTGTTGCGGTCGAAGGTGAAAAAGTCACTGATTGGTAGTACATTAAAGCAGATTATTTTGTAAACTCTGTTTTTAAGTCAAACCGTAGGCGGCGTAGTTCTCAGTTGTCCGAATTCAAAATCTCAACCCTGGTGGTGTAGAGTATTCTGTTGCAAACAGAGGGGTGTATTTCTCGTCCTCAGCGCTTGAGATACCGCATAAAGTCCCCTCAACCCCAGCCAGTTGTTTTTGTAAAAAAAATAATCCTTGGCAGGTGTTGACTTCAGATTTTAGTGCCTTCTGTGGGACTTGGGCTGGGTTACCTGTCCATGAGACAGAATCTTCAGGGCGAACACGCAGTTGAACAACATCTCAAGAGCTATCTTCAACCATCCGTGGTCCGGGATGGTCTCCTAAGCCAGGTCTGTTGAAAACGAAGAGCATCAGTGCAGCCCTTATTCCTTTTGGGTGGGCTAGAAAGACCAGGTTTGCACAACTGAGGAGAGGACCACATAGTAGTTCCCAAGTTTGTCTCTTCTGCCCCAAAAGTGATGGATCCAAAACAGACGTCCTAGCTTTCCACATTAGAGGGGCACTGGTAGAAGAAAAGATGTGTAGCTCAGGGTTGGACTTGGTGCCTTCTGAGCTTGGTTGCTGGCTTGCAGATGTCTCATTACCCAACTGGCTAACATCATCAGTGAGGGGCACCCTTGTTGGCATCCATCTCTGCTACAGAGCAATTTCCTCCCCCCTATTCTGGAATATGATATATATTCCACCCAAGAGATTTTTCTCCCTGGTCCAAATTGATCTGCTGGTTGATAGGAGTGCCAACACCACATTCTGTACAGAAATTGTGTTTTATGTTCTGATGTCAACATGGATCACATTACTGCGACTAGGCCCCTTGTACACTCAGATCGCATAACACCAGTTGCCAGAATGGGATGGCGGGTTTATGATTCCCCTTTGGTGGATCCAAACATTCAGATACCTCCAAGAAGAGGGCAGAATTTCTAACCATAGCTATGACGGATGGCAATTATTTGGGGGCCTTTCTGAGCTCATGGTTGGACTTGCCTTGTCCGTCCATCAGTCCTCCTGTCTTTCTGTGATTATTTTTACACCATTGAGTACTGACACCATTCAGTTGTCTTCCAGCCCTTGGAACTGCTGTGCGAGAAAGCCATTGGCACCTGCAACAGGCCGTTGGGTGCAGGGGAAGCTCTCCGGCGAGTGTTGGAGTGTTTGGCCTCGGGCATCCTGTTGCCAGGTAAGATCTGCCAAGCGTTTTCTTGAAGGTTGACCAGTCGTGCATTGATGGACCACTCTAGCGTGTCCTATTTGGATGGTGGTCTTCCGGTTTGCTGATCCCGTGAGTTTAGAAGACATCTCTCCAAGGTCTTCTCTTAAGTAGGAGAATGAAATGGGCTGTCCACCCTTCTTGAGAGCGAGCAGAGGTCTCCTTCTAAGATCTGCTATCATGGGTGATACTAGCATAAAACACAGTGCAGTTTTTCCCATGGATGTTCGTTCGCCTTCCTGAAAATACGTTCTCATTTTTGAGGTTGGCTTGGGGAACCTTGGCTGGTGCAAGTCAAGGATGGTTGGAGGAGTCTATCTCTTTCATTCCCAACTGCCTCCACAGCTTTTCTCTTTAGACCTTCCTTTGAAATCCATATGCCAAACCGATGCAATCCAACTGATAACATTGTGTAAGAGACACCCATCTGTAACTAGTCATTTTCCTCCCAGGTAGCTGTCAGAGCGTTTTGCAGTGTAACTACTATTATGAGACAACCCAGAAGCAAAACAAAGCACGCAGAGACTTAGACATTTAACAGTGGTTTATCTACCAGACAGTTATGTATGTGGGAGGCAAAATACCTTACAAGCAACCCATCTTCTTAACTCTACACGGAGAACTCTGCAATGGATACAGGACACAAGGAGAGAGAACACACCCTCTAATAGCTGCCTTTATGTAGACACCTCTTAAAGAGCTAAAACTTCTGTGGATCCATTCTTTTTATCTTAAAAGGGCAATAGCCGTGCTATGCGGATGCATCCTTACTGCATCAGCCTTACAGCAACTGGTCAGCTCTTAAATTTCAATACCTTAACAGTAGCTCTTTTGGGTGGTTCTGTGGCATCACGATTATGGTTCTGAGCGCCATTGGAGAAGGTTAGGGTTGAACTCCTTTCCTTGTGCCTAGGTGGGCCCGGCGTGCATGACCCCTGTGAACGAGAGCCAACAGATGCCTTGTCTAGCGTGACTGTTCCACAAAGGGAAGCCATAACCCATAGTGCCCAGGTAAAAACGGGCCAGCCACCTAGGTTGGTCCCCTTTCCCTCCAGCAATGGAGAACAAGGGCTTGGCGTGTTTTAAAGGCACCCAACATCACCGCTTGGGGTGGTGGGTTGAAAGCTACCCAATCTCTGGAGCGGAGTGCTCTTTGGTAGCGGAGCGGGGTTGACTCGCCGAATAACATTCTTCCTTCCTTCTATGTTTGACCCATTTTGATGGTTTTTACAGCATGCCCTGAGACTGTCGGCTTTTGGCCAAATCTACAAGGTGCTGGAGATGGATCCTCTCCCTTCCAATAAGTCGTTCCAGAAATATTCGTGGTCAGGGGCCGACAAAGAAGGTAGGTGCACCTGAAGGGCAGGCCAAGAAGTAACGGATGGAAGCTAATCAAGGAGAGAAGCAGCCTTGAACTGCTGACAAGTGAGAAGAATTAATCCGTGGAACAACTCGCCTCTAGAAGTTGTAGGCACCCCAACCCTGGAGATCTTTTAAGAAGAGATTGGACACCTGTTTTGTCTGAAATGGGATACAGTTTCCTGCCTGAGCAAGGGGTTGGTCTAGAAGACCTCCAAGGTCCCTTCCAGCTCTCTTATTCTGTTCATTCTCCCTTTCCTTGACAGCCGATCTTCCAGTGATACAATCACGGTCTAATTAATTGCAACTAATTGACTGTGTACTGGAAAATTATAATCTCCGTGACGTTTTTAAATCCCTCATTGATTCAGTTGAGTTCTACTTTTTATTCCTCCACCTTGGGAGCTTTTATAGATATATATAGATTTATCTATATATATTTATCTATATATATTTAATTGAGATTCCCAACCCCCCTCCCCAAAAAACCCCTTCCTCTCCCAGTCTAGAAAACTGGCATCCAAAGAGCAGTACCCACAGCCAATCTTCCTTCATGCAAAAGGGGTTTTTTTTCCCCCAAAGCTTTTTCCTCAATGGCTCAGTTTTCATCATGCCCATCAGCGATGCTCGCCTCTTCCTATTATGGAATTAAAAATACAATTTCTTTTTTTCGTTCTAGGCGCAGGTTCCTCTGCCCTAAAGAGGCCTTTTGAAGATGGGTTGGGGGACGAGAAAGACCCCAGTAAGAAAATGAAGAGGAATTTGAGGAAAAGTAAGGATGCTTCTTCTCCTCCTCCTCCTCCTCCTCCTCCTCCTCCTCTTCTTCTTCTTCTTCTTCTTCTTCTTCTTCTTCTTCTTCTTCTTC